TAACACTGCTAAATTTTCCAGACATCGTGCATGTGGGTAGCATGTTCACAGAACTTCAAAAAAGTTTTCTGTCCTTTTGGTATTTTGAAATTTGACAGGAGTTTGAGAACAAGTGAAAAACAGCAAAAATGTAGTGAGGAAGCTTATATTTTGATTATCTTGTTTAACACTTAATTTGGTGTTTCCTTTCTGGATTTGTCATTTAGTTAATTATTGAGATAGAGATTTTTTTATTACAATGTTTTTTTGTGAAACTGAAGGCATAGATTACAGAACTTCACATTTATACCTGAAGCTTCTTTTGCAACTTACCCTTGTGTCTGTGGAAGTACAGAATGTTACATTTAATTGGAAAACACAGTAGTCTTACTGGTGTTTCGGAGTAGCTTTTTGATTAACTTTAATTTGCAGGTTCTTGGTGAGATTCAGGAGATTGTGAAAACAGGCTTGTGGGTTGGCGACTGCTTTATTTACACCAGCTCTGTGAACAGACTCAACTACTATGTTGGAGGAGAAATTGTCACAATTGCCCATTTAGACAGGTAAGTTGCTGCATTAGATTGTAAGAAAGCCCTATGTGTTTTTTTTCAGTACAAGTTATGGCAAAGTAAATCCTCCACTTGCCCTGCTGTATTACTTTTGGTTACTTTAATGCTAATGTTCTGAGGCAATTAATGTAATCTTGCATAGGATAAATAGCATTACATGAAGGCGTGGTTATACAGTAAAAGTTGATGCAAATATTCTTGCTACCATTGGATTTTTTTATGTAGTACCTCATAGTAAACTTATCCAAGGTGAAAAATCTTTGTTTTGTTTCAGGACAATGTATCTTTTGGGGTATATTCCTAAGGACAACCGACTGTATTTGGGTGATAAAGAGCTAAACATTGTTAGCTACTCTTTGCTGGTCTCAGTGCTTGAATATCAAACTGCTGTGATGAGAAGAGACTTCGGTATGGCTGACAAAGTTCTTCCCACAATTCCAAAAGAGCAGAGAACCAGAGTGGCGCATTTTCTTGAAAAACAGGCAAGAGAACTATTTCTTAGACATCAAAAAAGTAATCAGCAGATTATTTGTAATTGAATTTGCTACGTAAGAACTAAAAAAGGTCCTGTAGGTGAATCTTCTTAATCATCTGTATTCACTTGGAACACTGTAATCTTTTCTTTAGATGGCTTTTGTTAAAACTTCTAAGATGCTGTTTGACCTGATGGATTATTTTGATTATCTGTTTACTTCAGGGCTTCAAACAACAAGCTCTTGCAGTATCTACAGATCCAGAGCATCGTTTTGAACTTGCTCTTCAGCTGGGAGAATTAAAAATTGCTTATCAGCTTGCAGTAGAAGCAGAGGTAAACATACAATTTCTGGTGATTTGTAATAATTCTGATTATAAATCCTAGAGGCCCCGTAAGAAAAAGCAGTGTGAAGATGCAGCACAGCTCTGTGAACACTGTAAATATGCCTCCAACTTCCTTACTGAAGTTTCTCTGCCTGAGCTGTGGGATGGGAACAGAAGCATGTTGTCAAGACATTCCAACCAAGAACAAAGCCTTAATCTTCAGTGAGAAGTCCACAGAGAGAAGTGGCAGAACTGAAGCCTCTGGGCCTTTGTTCCAGCCTTGAAAAACTTGCATCATTCCTGATGTTCTAGGAAGACTGACAGGCAGTGATTTGTCCTACAGCTTTTTTTTTATTATTATTTTATTATTAAGATAATTGGTCTCACTGTTCCTTTTGTAAAATAAGGAAGTGGTAGGACTAAGTTAATGTTCCTCATTCGACAGGGAGAGGACAAAGCAATGTCCATGCTGTGTAGTGACAGCATGGCAGTGGTACGTGCAGAACAAACTGCAAGAGTCATTGTATCTTAACGGTAAGACAAGTGCACTGATGGGATACAGTACCTTAATAGGTGAACTTAGAGCTTATGTTGAATGCTTTAAAAATCTTTAATGGTATTCAAAAATATGAGCTTTGGTTTTTTCTTTCTCCTCCCTCCTGTTGTGCTTTTTAGTCAGAACAGAAGTGGAAGCAACTTGCTGAACTTGCCATTAGTAAATGCCAGTTTGGCCTGGCCCAGGAGTGTCTCCACCATGCACAAGACTATGGAGGACTACTTCTACTGGCTACAGCCTCAGGAAATGCAAACATGGTGAATAAATTAGCTGAAGGAGCAGAAAAAGATGGCAAGAACAACGTCGCATTTATGAGCTACTTCCTGCAGGGAAAGTAAGTAGTGAGGAATTCAGATGGTCCTCATTGGGCTTTCTGAAACACAAAGAACATCTGATCTCCAAATGGTAAACTACAGCTAACTTAATTTCAAGAGGAAAGACAGTAGCACGTACCCTTCAGAAAAATGTTTGATGATGCCTACTTTTTAAAATCGGGCACTTCTAATTTACTGACATCACAGACAGAACAGCTATAATGCAAAAGTCTAACTTGAAAACTTATTGATAAAAATTCTATTTTAACATCTGTTAGGCTTGACTCGTGTTTGGAACTCCTGATCAAAACCGGACGTCTCCCAGAAGCTGCTTTTCTTGCACGGACCTATTTGCCAAGCCAAGTTTCAAGGTAACATTAAAGTATATGCAAGTCCTAGTAGTAGAGTCAAAACTGCCTTTATACAATGAACCTGATCTCTGTCTCCAGGGTTGTTAAACTGTGGCGGGAGAGTCTCTCTAAAGTTAACCAGAAAGCTGCTGAATCTCTTGCTGACCCTACAGAATATGAAAATCTTTTCCCTGGATTAAAGGAAGCTTTTGTTGCTGAAGAATATGTTAAACAAAGTCTTGCTGACCTGCGGCCTGCCAAGGAATACCCCCTTGTCACTGTAAGTAAGAAGTGAGAGCTCCTATTTTCTCTGAAAGAGAAAAATTCGAAGTTGTGCAAATTCTGCTGTAAGCAAGTCGATGAAATTACTTACTTAAACATTCCATTAACATGTCTGCACTTCCTATATTTTAGCCAAATGAAGAAAGAAACTTACTTGAAGAAGCAAAAGGCTTTGAACCATCGGGAGTAATGGCATCTCAGGTCAGTGTTACCACCAAATGACGAAGCCTAAGAAGTGCTTGTGTTGCAAGTTCTCCAGGGTGGATGTTACTGTACAGCTGTGATGATTGAACTGTTGCTCTTTCTGGCTTGACTACTGCAGTTGAGTTCCACGTTCTTCTGCCTCAGACTTCTAGACTAAAAAAGTAGACTAAAGAAGTCATTAGTAGTTACAGAATTATTTACTCCATGTGGCTGCTTATGTTTTTGTTCTGCTACCATTTCACTCAAGTACGTGTGTGTAATCACAGTGCTGCCACTGAATTCATCCTGAAAATAATTGCATATCAAAACCCTACTGCCTCAACTGCTTCTAGCACTCTGAAAGCTCAGTAGTTGGACCTTGGAATCTCTTACATACCTCAGCAATGCTTTGTATTTGTTGCTATTGTGCATGGCTTCAAAAGTTAGAGAGTAGGAGTTCTGATTGATTATTTGGAAATAGAATATTCTAAGTAGTGAAGTAGCTCAGACTGATGGTTTTATCACTCAAGTGAAAGTTTTCACCTTGTGAAAGTTATCTACATGTTAATTCACAATTATCTTGCATAGAAGCTATAAACAAGGCCTGCCATGTTCTTCAGTTGCACTTCAGTTTTAAGTTCTTTAAATTAATTGACATAGACTGAAGGCTTTTTTTTTTTTCTAACAACTGCTTTGAATTAAAGGGGGAAACAAACATGGTAGGCTCCTCTGGAGACCAGAAAACTTAATGGCTGTGAAGATGTGATTCTGGAATTAGTGAGAGAAATTTTAGAAGACAGCCATCAAGGCTTGGGGGATGTGCAGAGGGGCTGTTGTTTGCTTAATTTTAACAAAAGTTATCTTTTTCATTAGAAAAAGACAGAAGAAGCAGTTCCATCTCCTAAACCAGAAGTGATGAATACAGTACTGCAGAATTCTGATCTGCTTCCACCACGAGATCAAAAGGTACTGGAATGTATCTTAGGAATGGAAGGAGTGTCGTGGCTGAATGAAGAACTTAAGTATACCACATAATGTCACTTCTATCTTTATATGAACCACGCTCCTGAGACTTATTACACTGTGTGGATCTCTTCCTGTAGAGTGCAGAAACTGTACACAGTAATGTAGAACAATTCCTACAGCCTTGTGGGCTTAAAAGGAAACAAGTGGAGTCACAACCCAGAACAAAATAACAAGTTGCAGTACTGCAAACTGCTTTCTTATTCAAGAAGGCATTTCCTTCTGGAGGTTATTGTAGGTCTTATGCACTACTTGACTGCCTTAATGTTGCTGAATGTTTCAGTACCTCATATAGCATTATACAAACTACAGCTGCTGTCACAACAGCTGTCTAACATGTCTCTCTGGACTTAATTCCCAGACACTTCTGGATTTGGAAGATGACCTCGATAACTTAGACCTGGAGGATATTGATACCACAGATATCAATCTGGATGAAGAGATCTTAGATGACTGAACAGAGCTCTGGATGACCAACTCAACTACTGCTTACTCCAAACAAAGGAATGAAGTTCTGTGGACTACATGCTCCACACTAACTCGATTTTTATACAGAAGATGGACCACGTAGATGCAGGGAGAGGGGCAAACCCTGCAACTGTAAAAGATTTGAGTATGTTGAAATTTAAGATATAGACCTGCTCTAAAGCGTCGTGGAAGCGTTTTCATTTAACGTGCAGTTCAATAAATCCTTTTAAACATTCCATTCCTGTTCTCTCCTCTATTTCAAGAAGTAAATTGAATTACAGGCAAGTGTTTATTCAGCATCCATCACCTTGAAGTAGAAGAGAATGGGACAAGAGGGAGTTCACGTGTAGTTCTTCTGCAACTAAGCTGTTTCTCTAGTGAGTCCTATTATGTACCAAAACATGTTTTTAGCATATACAGTTATCCAAGGTATTTATTGTGGAATCCTCTACAAAGAAAGTTCACAAACAGCTCAAAATAATGATGAAGAATTGTTTATTTCATGAAGCTGTAGACGTAGCCATTGCTTCTTGGTATGCCTGGAGGGCCAATTGTATATAGCCTTCTTTCTGTGATTCAGTTTTCACAAAGACCTAGAAGCAAGGGGGGATGAAGATTAATGTACACTTAGGAGCAGAGTACACAGTGAGATTTCATCACTCCAATGGTTTGTCAGCTATTTCTTCTCCATCATTATGCTCTTTTATATATTTTAAAAAAACATGCAGCAGTTCTAGTTAATTACAGGAAGCTATTGACTAGGCTTCTGGTGTTCAAATGCGTTGTCTTCTGTAGGTAACTGTGCTTAGAACAGAAAAGTGTACCTTGATCAGATCAATTCCATGAAGTTTCCCTTCTTTGGCTTCTTTTGCTGACTGACATTCTGGATGAAGCATGTGATACAGTGTGATTAAACTCGTGGCATCATCCAGCCTAAACAAATAAAAGTTCAGTTGTAACTATGACTGTTTCTAAATAATTTGAGTGTGCTTGCACACCACGGGCCTTCATACACTTTCACCTCATATACACAGTCATTAGAAGAGAGAGCTAACGAGGCAGCCCATAATTTACTGTAATAGCACCTTGTTCCTGAGAAGGAAGACCAGAAGCACGTGCAGCAATTAACAGACAGAAACTGACTCATACTGCAGTTTAAGCATGATCTACTACTGTTCAGGAGCCATAAAGCTGAAAGCCATAAAATACAAGGAACTGTACATAAAACATAAAATTAAGCAACTATAAGAGGTTAATTTCTGCAGACACCTACTTTGGTATCCTAACACTTTGACTGCAATGTAGCTGGTACTTCCATTCAGAATCTAGGTAGCGAGAAATTACAGCTAGTCTAAAATATCATGCAAATGGAAGTTTTCAGACATCTTACGGAAATGCCATTTTTCAAACAACAGGCCTTTACATTTTCTATTTGTCTATAAACAGAATAAATGACAAACACCACTTACAAGTCTCTGTTGATCATATCTATCAGCAAGCCATCCGTTTTCTTTCTGTTTACCAGGTACCACACCATGCCTCCAAAGTGCCTTGTTGAGCGGAGCAGATCGTATTTTGCATGTTTCTCAATGTCATCATATGTTCGATGATGAACCTGGACACAGAAAAGAATTCAGTTTCAATAGTATAAGCAGAGCTTCATGACAGTTCCTCCTCTTTACCTTTCACGTAGATTTTTTGGATCCATTTTTAGGCCTCTCTAAACTGTGGCAGTAAGCCACAAGTTCAACTGTGCTACTTTAAAGCTTTACACCTGTTTTAATTTGGGGTAACACTGGGACAACCCAGTTCTTAGAACTCATAAGTAGATGTGTGTTAAGAAAAAACTAAATGCAACCCACACACTGGCAATTTTGGGAGGGAGGGACATGAACTCTGAACCTTCATTGCACTGCCCTCAAGTTACAATCTATTTTTCAATGAAGTCAAAGCAAAGAGTTGCTAATGGAGAAAGTTGAAGAAGTTACTTGAAACACTGATTAATGGAAGTTCTGCTCACAGCGATTCAGGAAATTAGTTAACATTAAATAGATACAATAGAAAAACTTTCTAACAACATAACAATTGATATCTTCATTAGTACTTACAGTTACTAAATTGACACCCCTCAGCTGGAAGTGTGTTTTTGTACCCAGTTTTTCTCACAAACATTAGTTTATTTTGTGCACGGTGCTCTCAGATGCATCAGTTATCTACCTCCTTTTTTCAAATCCTAGCATAGTAGTCAAGACAACTCAAGCAGCACAACTGGGGCCAGTTACAGTTACTATCAGTTCTGGTTGGATACCAGAAGACTCTTTTCTGCATCTGTACTTCTTTCTATACGGTTGGAAAATATTTAAATGGGTCACTTTTCTGAAGAAAATAAAATAAAAAATAGAAAGCTCATGGCAAAGATAGCAAGTAATTCATGGGAAGAGGGGGGAAGAACACACCTGAACAACTCTGATCCCCAGACAATATTTATGCTTACAAAATAAACCTTGAAACGTCTTCTGTAATGCTTTTTTACTTTAAAAAAAGTGAACTTACTCTGATATAGTCAGCTGAATCTGGCTCAAACTGAGCAATGCACATGTTAAGGATATCTTCATGACGGTCTTGCCGAAACACAGTCTGAAACAGTTTAAATTCAGGCACAGGTCACATATCACACAATTGCAACTCTCCAAAATTTAAATGGCAGTGAAAACATTCCTCTTCTGGGCAACACAGCACAGGTAACCATTACATGTGTACTTACAGTACAACAGAATATTTACATTACCCAGTATTTATCTGGTTGCAACTCTGAATTTTATTTTAAGCAATTTAAGCAAGTTACACTAGTAAGCAATTGTTCAAGAAGATTAAAACCTACCAACCAACTGGCTTATTCAGAGCCACTACTCTGTCCAAACAGCACAGCTTCACTGTCACAGCATGGTCAAGAAAATAAAAACCATCTGTTTTTTCAATCCCAGTTCTTACCCCGAGGTGTTCGTCCTTAAATAACACTGGGGGAGTAACTCTGCGCCCTTCTTTGGGGAAGAAGATCTGTATCATGCGGTCTCGCTCTTCCCAGGTTGCCTTACGTAATACACCGTTTGGTTCTCTAACGACAATGAAACGTTCCTGAAAAGAAGATCAGAAAGAGCATTATCTCCCACAGCATTCTCTACCTAAGCAGGATCATTGTAAACAAGATTCCTGTTTGACTAAGTGTTCCAATGCCAAAACCATGCTAATATTACAGTGTCTTTTTGACTGCCAGTATGCATAGAATTATTTTTCCCTTTATAAATTATACATTTACACCTTAATCTGACAGTAGAACGCAACACTATATGCACTTATACTGCAAAATTTAACAAACAACATAACTAAGCCCAGAGAAAGGAATTAGCACTGCTGCTGGCCCGACTTGACACATTCAACACACGCTAAATTAACAGTGCATGTATGTGCATGTATTTTCTATTATAAAGCTCTGGGATATAATTTATCAACAGACAGAAGTCAACAACTGAAACGCCTCTGTATTTCTGCACTAAAGCCCAAATTCACAGCTGCTCGGCTCTTAAATTAATAGATTATCACTTACACGATGCGGAGTGGCGTAAGTTAAATCTGTAAACACGTATTTCGCAGTTTCAGTTCCCTCGAGGACTTTGTCGTCTGCTAACACATCATCAATGGGCTCTCGTTCGTCCAGCACTGGCGGCATTCTCAGCTTTTCTTTGGCCTCCTCAATGGCTTTTCTCGTGGCCTTCGGGTAAGAGTTTAATTGATTTCACAATTAGAAGTTAGAAAGGCGGGAGCGGCGGCACCGGCAGCGTACAGCGGGCGGCTCCGCACCGCAGCGCACCGCAGCGCACCGCAGCGCACCGCAGCGCAACGCACCTCCTGCAGCTGAGCCTCCGTCAGCAGCCGGTACTTGGGCGGCTTCAGCTCCTGCCGAACCGGACGGAAAACCTTCTGCAGGTTCAGCCCCGTCATCCTGTACAGCAAATCCTGAACCGCTTCATCCGTAAAAGCAGGCTTCGCCTCCCTTTTTTCTGCCGGAGGATTTTACACGCAATGAAAGGGCCGCGCGGGGACGGCCGCATACCCGCCCTCTGTGACAGCCCCCGGCCCGCTTCCCTCTTCCTCAGCCACCCGGACAGCGCCGCACACGCGCTCCGCGATGGGCAGGAAAGGCGGAGAAGGCGCTCCCGCCACCTCCCGCTCGCGCACCGCCCGCTTACGCACCGCCCGCGGGCCCCGCGTCCTGCCCAAGCCCCCGCTGCACGCGCCATCCCCACAGCGCCCGCGCCACGCGCGAGAGCCGCACGGGCGGCACAGCAGCGCCCTTCGCTGCGAGCGCCGCCATCTTGCTCGCGCCCCGCCCCGCCCCGCCGCCGACGCGGGCCGCATCGCTCCTGAAGCACGTCGGGAAATGGAGTTCGCGGTGTTTCCGACCGCCGCTCCCCGTGCCGAGAATCTCCCTCAATCAGAAAGCCGCTCTCAGTGCGTTCGTGTGAACGCTGCGGAGGCGGGAGCCCGAACTGAGGTGGAAGTGCGAGTCGGCGTTCCTGTCAGAGCGGGGGCGTTGGGTGGGAATGGCGCGAAGCAGGGCTGCGGGCCGGCAGGTGTCCGCTCGGCTGCGACACGGAGCTGAGCGCGCGCTGTCCGTTCCCGCCGCCAAGCCGCGGCGTTCCCCCAGTCAGCCAGAAGGCGGCGGGCGGCACCTGGCAGAAGGAGTAATGCTGGGGTGATTGACCCGAAATGAAGAACGTCCTGTGGCTCTCTGATAATCCGGCGCTTACGGGGTGACAGATTTTCCGTGCGACCCGTATATTGGAATAAGTCCAAAGGACACCACGAGTGCTCTTGCCTGAGGAGCGGCACTGCGCCGTGCATCCTTCTCAGGTCGGTGAGAGGTCACTGCCGGCTGTAGCTGCCCTTCGGTGTCTTGGTACGGGGGGAAATAAATAGCTCACTGCAAGACAGACATTGAGTGCTGCTGTGTGCCCAGAGGGCAGCGGAGCCGTGAGGGGTCTGGGGCACAAAGTGTGATGGGGAGCAGCTGAGGGAACTGGGATGGGTCGGTCTGGAGAAGAAGAGGCTCAGGGGAAACCTCCCTGCTCTGCAACTCACTGAGAGGAGGCGGTGGTGAGGTGGGGGTCGGCTGCTGCTCCCAGGTTAACAGCGATGGGATGAGAGCTGGTGGCCTTGAGTTGCACCATGGGAGGGTCAGGTTGGAATTTAGGAAGAATTTCTTCTCAGAAGGAGCAGTGAGGCCCTGCACAGCTGCACAGGGCAGTGGGGCAGTCAGCATGCCTGGAGGTGTGCAGAGCTGTGGAGATGTGGCACTGAGGAACGTGGGGATGGTGGGCTGGGGTTGGACTTGGAGATTTCGGGTCTTTTCCAACCTTAATGATTCTGTGACTTTGTTAATATAGTAGCTCAGTTATAGCTGAGTGTATTTCAGTAGGCATTACTTAGTTAACTTGCTAGTTAGTCTGTACCTTCTGCTGAGCATCAGCTTGTGGTCGGGGCTGTGCGAATCAAAGAAAATATATTTTTTTACTTACTTTACTTACTTGAGAAGGGCCCTGAATGATGTGGATTGTAAAATGCTCAAAGCCACGAGGTGATGCAATCTGCTTGACAACTGTCAAACTGGGAAACGTTTCATCTCCTGGAGGCAAGATCTCAAAACAAAAGCAGTGTGCTTAAATATGCTTCCAATTGTTTTAAAGTTGAGTAGGCTGACAGCTGCTGTGCCAAATCAGTCTAAATTGTGTTACACTTGAAAATGGAGATTAAAGTCTTAGGGAAAACAAAGACTATAGCATGTATTGGTTTTAGTCAGGCTAAGCATCTGTTTAAGTACGTATTTGTTTGTAATAATAGATCTTCGTTGTACTGGGCAGCATTCTTATTTTACCTAGCTTTATTCAGTACTGAAACACAGGTATTGAGTTGAATTTTGTGTTCAAGCTTTGTCCTTCAATATCGTGACCTTTGCATTATCAGAAAGGTCATAGGAAGGCATATTCTTCTCATATTTATATTGGTACAATCAAGTTGAAATCGCTGAGAATTAGAGCACAAATTAATCCATAATATTATTTTAATGTGATTTTGTGCTTAATTTATTTAAATAATGCCAAGAAAATTAAAAACAATGTTGAGGAAATTGAGAAGATGTTGTTTTTCAGCTCTTGCTTGGAAGACCTCTGGAGTGAGAGCTATACCCTATAAGGGAATTGGGAAGTTATTTGGCGACTTGCCTAAAAGCCACTTCAGACCTGTTCATGAATTTGGATGGCAAGCCAACGTCCATTTTAATTCACAGAAGTGCTTAGAAAAACAAGAGAATTTATTAGACTATATCCAGGAGAGGTTAAATTCACATTCGTTCTGTACTGGAGTAGTAACAGCTGCTGTGAGGATTAGCCTTTTGGCTGGCAGGATGAAAGGAAATATTAACTAACAGTGCTGGAGATAGAAGTAGAGCAGGTTAATGTGTTTTATAAAAGAATATGAATTTATGTTGGATAGGTTGGTTATATTTTATGTATGGTTTGTTGCCATACAGAAGTAACAACTTTAAGTGGGATGTTTTTTATTGGTATACTTACAAATACAAAACCAGCTTGAAAAATTGGTGGTGTAATTATTGATAATGAAATAAAGAATCTCTTAGCTTCAGTTACTATTTTGAATGCATCCCAGGACAATTGATGTTGGAAAATTACAACCATCTGATGAGGGGTGGATGTCCCCTGTGAAACACATTGGTGGTCTGTCTGGATTCTATTGGAAAAGTTTCAATACAAAATCACCTCCACAGTTGGCATTAATTTCCTTTTTGTTGGTAGTTTCAAGGGAGCAAAAGGATCAGATGGCCTCCGACGCTGAGCCACTTCGGTTAAGATCTCAGGGAAAAGGAAAGCAAATGGGGAACTTAGGAGCTCGCATTGTTGCTTTTCCATTTAATAAATAAAATAAGGGACTGTGGCTGCCAGCTTTTCTGAATAGTAATTATGTTAAAATTGTGGTAGCAAGTTGTTAGGAAGGAAGAATTCTCTGTTGGAAAAACACAAAAAGACAAAATGTGAGGTTTGGGAACTGAGCATCCCATTGCTGTAAGAAGAAACAGACTGAGCCCAGTCAGAGTGTCTGCATGTCCACAGCTGATGACATGACCTTTTTAAAATTAATGGTTGGTTCTCTTGTTCCTGATAAGAAAGAATCTGGCAATCCTGTGAAACATTTTTCTGAGGGACACAATGGACCAGGTTGGAATCTGTATTCACTAAATCTGCATGGATTAAACTGAAGAGAAGTTATTTTTTCACAGAGAAGGCAGAGATTGTGAAAGTAACAGAAATGACACAAACCTTATTCTATTGTCAGACAAGTAACTAAATGAGTAACATGTTATGTGTGGTTTGTTTTGGTTCCCCAACCCTAGATGGAGTGGTTTATTTCCTTGCTGTAATCATTGGGTGGTAGTAATACTATTGTCTGTTTTCAGGCATATTATCTGCAAGTTTCTTTTCTTCAGGAGATAAAGTAGTATTTTCTCTGGAATTGTCCTTTAAGCTCTGTAGCCATGAGCTTGTCTTGCCATCCAAAGCCATTGGTAGCTGTCCCCCTCCAACTTCCACCAGAATCCCTTTATTTTGATGGCAGTGATGACAATGGTGATGATGCATGAGCCTTTGCTAATACATCAAAGGGGCCAGTTTCCATCCTACAGACCATACAGGTATTTGAAGCTGTTTTATTTTGAGATTTCATTTTGATCCGTGGCAGCAGGGACAGAAGATGGCATACTGAGCCACCGGGCCAAAGTGAGCTGTGAGTGCGGAGCTGTGGGCAGTTCTGCTGGGCAAAGACATTTAGCAGAGCACAGCTGAGATCTGCCCAGAAAATGGCATAACTGAGGTCAGCCACAGCCATTATCATCCTGCATCAACAGCTGGCTTCTGTCATGTATGCAAAAACCCATGGTGAGAGGGAATGGGGGAAACTTTATGAATGCAAAAGTCTGACAAATGCTTTTCTTCACCATTGTCAGTTTAACAAGTGCTAACAATATGCATAGCTTGAAGAGCAAATATCCTAGATTTTGGGGTTTTTTTTATTTTGTACCTTGACTATTTGTCATTTTAATTTCAAATTTGAAGGGAAAATTACAAAACCAAGGAGTACTTTTGATTGCATGTACTCTTTACCGGTTAGTTACAGATGAATTTACAGAGCCTGCTTGCTATATTTTCCTGGGCCACGTGGGGGCAAGATTGAGATTTTAAACATTACGAATGAAAGTCCCAGAGTAATTACAGAGGATAATGTAAATGACCTAGATTTGCCTCTGTCTCACATAAAGCTGCTATAATCTCTCTTTAATAATGATAAATTGGATATATACAAATACTGCCTCCAGTAATTGAGATTACATACATTATTTATGGTAGGGATATAAATCCCACTCTGGTTTATATAGTTTTCTTTGCTACACTATAATGGCTTGAGCCAAAGCCTATTAAAGCCATTGGAAGTCCTTCTCTGACTTCAGTGAGCTCAGAACTAAGCCCATATTTTTCAATAAATTCCATTCTTCTGTTCTGCTTCTGTACTGCTTATCTTTTAAATACAAATTGTTAGAGGGGAACAATAGTAAATATTTGGTATTATTCAGAGTCTGGTAGTTGTTGTTTTCCCCCTTCTTAATCAATGTTTAACCTCTTTCTCATTCCATTTCTGTTTAAAGTCCCATCCCTTTGAATCCGAGTGCCCCGCAGGGTGCTGTGAACTAAACCTGGGCATAACAAGCTGTTATGTGTCCTGCTTATAAACTGGTCTAATACCTCTTCAGTGCTAACTGCATTTTTTCTTCCATCCTTTTCTAGTAATAACTGATTTTATTGACACAGCCACCTCGTTCTTCAATTCTTTCGGTAGGAGGTGAATGCATTTTTCTGCCGATGAATTGTTACTCTTCTGGAATTATTTTTTTCTCAAGACTGATTTGATCCTTTTCAACATTTTTTGTTCATTTTTAGTTAAAAGAACTCTTATCTCTTGTTGCTTTAAGCCTTTTTGTTGCTTAGTGATGCCAAGAAACCACTCCTGCTGTTGTGACAATCCCTTTTTGTGTTTCCTTGCCTCTGATATTCCGGCTCTGAGATTCCTTCACAAGTTTCCCTCTGTTGCATGTAATGATTTTTCTTCAAATCTCCATTTTGTTTTTTTTATATTGTCCCTAAACTTTCCTGTTTTCATCTTACATTGTTTTGAATTTTTTACCATTTGTTTTACCACCTTGTTTTCTCTTTCTTAATTCCCAAAATTAATTGTTCATAGAAATGCTCTCCTGTACTTTGCTAC